GATCACTTCTTCTTCGAAGGACTACATAAACCTGGAAACACATCAAATCCCTTGGGGTCCTTCGTAAACCGGCCGACCGTGAATGAAATTCCCGGCCTCAACACTCTAGGCATATCCACCGTACGAGTCGATTATGCACCACGTGGCGTTGTTCCTCCCCATCGACACCCTCGGGCTTCGGAAATTTTGACAGTGTTGGAGGGGAAAGTACTTGTCGGATTCGTCACCTCGGATCCAGAAAACAAGCTGTTTATGAAAGTTGTTAAAAAGGGTGATGTTTTTACCTTCCCATTTGGGCTTATCCACTTTCAACAAAATGTTGGGGATGGGAATGCCGTGACTATTGCCTTCTTGAGCAGCCAGAATCCGGGTGTCATTCCCATTGCTAATACAGTTTTTGGATCAAATCCATCTATTAATGATGATTTACTGGCCAAGGCCTTCCGAGTCGACAAATCGATCATCCGTAATCTCAAATCACCGTACTAAGGGTTTCTCTTTCTCAACGAATGACATCCTCGAGTTTGTCTTTCAGATTTCCCTAGGCAAGGTTCTTACTATTTTCAGGCATGACACGAGGGATAAATACCTCACTAGAAGATGGAGGATGTAACTTCTATTTCTTTAGGTTATATGTTATTAATTCATTTTCATTAATAAGTTTGTTGTATTAACTAGCTATTCTAGATCTAGCTCCTATGTCTCTTATCAACTACCAAGAAATCAAGCTTCCTTTCTCGGGCGATGACAAACGCACTTTTGAAACACTTTTATTGATGATATTCTTTATATCCTGACAGCATTAAAATACACGTTTACATCTTAACTCAAAACGGAGTAGTTCAGAAGTGTCGCTTTCATAAAATATGATTAGGTAGTTGAGTACCATGCCGAGCATATTGTTAGAAATAAGAGAAAAAGAGATGAAGATGGAAACACAAGAAGTGGAGCAATTTGCAAGATTTGAACACATAATGAACGTTGTTTTGAAACGATATTTGTCTCCTCTCCTAATGCTTTTAACAAAAAGGCACCAGAGCCAGAAAAATCAGCCTTCACTGCTAGTTTTTATACCCTTTTAGCCTCGTGTAAAGTTGAAGTGTCCCATGCGATCGCTAGGCAAATTCGTTTTCCACAACTCATCCATTTGGCCTCGCGATCACATGGGCAAATTCGTTTTCCCCAAATTTGTGTATCCATAGGTCTTCCACAATTCATCCACACATTTGGTCCATTTAAGGCCCTCCAAACATCAACTTTGAACAACTAAATTACGACACATATATCGAGGATATATTCATATCGGATTACATAAAATTAAACAAAAGAACCACGAAATAACTAGATCCTTCTTATCTTTTCAAAAATTGCGAAATCTTTCGTATGAACAAAAATTAGCACTTACAATTCTCTTATTTATTATTTTTAATTACTTAAGTACATTAACTCTAGTTTAAAAAGTATGCTTTTTTCTCTTTTTACACAATGGGCTTCCATCTCAATAAGAATTTTTCTCAAAATGACATTTTTATTATTAAAAATATATAAATAAATAAAATTTTAACATATAAGAATATAAAATAAGCCCATGCTTGGTTCAACTAAAAAATGACTAAAATCTAAGTTAAATTCAACAATTAAATTTTAACCACACATTTTAATTAGGATCCACAACTTTTCAAGGACAATTTTGTTGCCTTTTTAGTACAATGATAATGGTACTATTATTTAATTACTTTTGGTGAGGAGTAGTGGAGTGGAGTGGAGTGGAGTGGGGGAGGATACCAATCTTTAAGCTCTTAACCTCATTTATGAAATAACCATGTTTAACCAATTGAAACAAGGTGAATTGGTAAGATAGTTCTAAACTTAACCTAATATAAACTTATGATTATAAAAAATAAAATTACCAATTTTTATACCTAAATTTATCTTTATTTTCTCTAACTTAAAGCTTGTTTGGAAAGTGTTTAGGTATAAATAATTAAAAAAATAGAAATAAGGGATGGATAACTGTGTAATACTCGTGAATCTCTCGAAGTGTGAATAAAAATGACTTGAGTATTTATAAATAGTTTATAAATATGAGCCAAATATAACTAAATTGTAAATGAATAAAAAAAACTATTATACAAACTTAGGTATTTAATGCAAGGATTGTTAACTCTACTCCACAGATTCCTGAATCATCGAAGAAGATCAGCAACAACCTTATCTAATAATAACTGCATTTAGTTTGATATTCAAACTTATCTTCTGGTCATTCCACTATTCTTGTATAAATTCATGTAAACTATATCCACTCGAGTGTATATAATGAACTTATAGAGCTACGGTTTTGGCATTGAGGCCATCTAATTTTAAAACTCTTTCATAATATTAGAGTCTATTAAGTTCTAATGAGCGATTCGATCGATTAAAACTAAGAAAATGAGCACACGAATTTCAAAATTGGTTTGGGGCATATTAAGGGATAAAATCTCACATCGTATAAAGATGAAACATAGACAGATTTACAAGGGTTTGAACTACTCATCTTAATAAGATTGATATTTTTAAGATGGATGCTCAAGCCTTAATTAACATAGCCATTTGCTTAGCCTTCTTCTTTCCAATCCAATCTTATTTACCCTTACCATGGTTGGCTCATCCTCAGCTTCTCATAATATCTCCTTTCTTGTGCCTAATCTTAGCCAACTGGTTGCTGCCAAGTTAGATGGCTCCAACTATCTGATATGGTTATCTCAATTTATTCTTGTTCTCAAGAGCAATAACATGATGGGTTCGTGGATGATTCTGAATCGTGCCTATCACAAATTTTCCTCGATGATCAAGGAAAACCCACATCTGTCATTAATCCTGAATTTCTCCTTTAGTACAAAAAGGACCGGTTCGTTTTAGGTTGGATCAATGCTACTCTTTCTCCTCAGGCTGTTCATTTTGTTTACGGCATTACCTCTACCAAACCTGCTTGGGTTGCCCTTGCCAATAAGTTTGCCTTTCGGTCCTATTCTTACATCAGCCACTTGAAGCGCAAAATTCAGTCTCTCACTCAAGGCTATATCTTGATGAAGCTAAACAGCTAGCTGTAGAATTAGGTGTTGTTGGTAAGGTCATTGATGATTATGACCTCATCTCTTATTTTGCTAGTAGATTAAACTCATCTTTTACTCCATTTGTCACCTCTTTCCTAAACCCCTCGTAACAATCCTCTATAATTTGAGGACTTTCAGGCTGAGTTATTATCCAATGATTTACCCTTGGACAGTCACTCCAAGACTATTCTACCTGATGCCAATACTTTTGCCCTTTTTACTCTGAGGTCTCCACCCTAGTCCTTTAACCGTAATTCCAAATATCCTCCAAAATTCAACCAGCATCTTTACCACTCACATCCTGCTTTCAACAACCAACACCATTTCCATTCCCAAAGTACCTCCAAACAGCCACCCTCTCCAAAATCACAACCTCAATTTCCCCACCAATCATTTTCCTCTCCTCGATCTCCTTGCCAAATCTGTGGTCATTCTATTCATAATGCATCGACAACTTTCACCGTATGGACTATGCCTACCAAGTTCGTCATCCTACTGCCAAGTTGGCTACAATGGTTGCTCAATCCAATGCCACTCAACATACTGATGAGCCCTGGTTTGCTGCTGGTGGTATAATCAATATAGCACGGCCAACCTTCAGTAACTGACCCTTCACCAACACTATACAAGTCACGAGCATGTTCTTGTTCGTAATAGACAAGGTTTGAGTATCTACCGTGCTGGTTCAATGCAATTACATACTCCTCTTGCCCCTCTTAAATTGAAAAATGTTCTTTATTGTCAACATGCTTATGCCAACTTACACGAATTCCACCAAGGAATAAACTGACTTATTCAATAATAACCACAAAATTAATTTCTCAAACAAAACACAATACTCCACATCTTCCAATAAATCCAAGAACTACTCTTGTAGAATTATCTCAAATTCCTAAAAATCATAATGATTTTATAATTTACCAAAATGGGCTATAAAACACCCCAAAGTAGAATCAAACCTAAATGCCTTTAAAGAAGGACCCTTGCTAGATTGTACACCTTCAACTCCACTTAAAGTATGCTCAACAAAATCAGTATCCACATACCTTGTTTCACTGGGTCCGTCTCTAGCAACTGAATGGCAAAGCGACTACCCATATCTTCAAAACTCAACTGAGCTGTATTCTTCAAATTTGCCCATTTACGAACTCCTAAAGGTATTGTACCAAATCGAATGTCCACCACGGTACTGAAGTTGTGTTGATTGACTCTTCTAGATTTTGCTAAACCCTGCAAGATGTATAACTAAGACAATTCTGTCCATCTAATACAACTTGGGCACTTTTACGAACCTTCAAAGTTCCACATCTATTAAAGAACTCATAACCTTTTGAATCAATAATAGATAACGAGATGAGATTCTTCTTCAAATCCGAAACATGTCGAACATTGTCAAGTGTTCTAATTGTTCCATCCAAAAGTTTCAATCTAATCATACTATTCCCGCAACCCGACAATGTGCTTTGTTTCCCATAACCACGACACGTTCGTAAACAGTTTCATATGTAGTAAACAAGTCCTTATTAACACACATATGAAAAACACACGCTGAATCAAGAATCCAATCCTCTTCCGATTTAGACTCAATGTCAGAAATAGCTAAGAGATCTCCATCAATGTTCTCCACGAGGTTTGCTTTGCTTGAAGTATCTGATTGCTTTCCATATTGATTTGCTGCCAACCTTTCTTTATTTTTCAATTTGTAGCAATCTTTCTTCATACGCNACTGAGCTGTATTCTTCAAATTTGACCATTTACGAACTCCTAAAGGTATTGTACCAAATCGAATGTCCACCACGGTACTGAACTTGTGTTGATTGACTCTTCTAGATTTTGCTAAACCCTGCAAGATGTATAACTAAGACAATTCTGTCCATCTAATACAACTTGGGCACTTTTACGAACCTTCAAAGTTCCACATCTATTAAAGAACTCATAACCTTTTGAATCAATAATAGATAACGAGATGAGATTCTTCTTCAAATCCGAAACATGTCGAACATTGTCAAGTGTTCTAATTGTTCCATCCAAAAGTTTCAATCTAATCATACTATTCCCGCAACCCGACAATGTGCTTTGTTTCCCATAACCACGACACGTTCGTAAACAGTTTCATATGTAGTAAACAAGTCCTTATTAACACACATATGAAAAACACACGCTGAATCAAGAATCCAATCCTCTTCCGATTTAGACTCAATGTCAGAAATAGCTAAGAGATCTCCATCAATGTTCTCCACGAGGTTTGCTTTGCTTGAAGTATCTGATTGCTTCCCATATTGATTTGCTGCCAACCTTTCTTTATTTTTCAATTTGTAGCAATCCTTCTTCATACGCCCCTTCTTCTTCCAAAAGTTATAAATCTGATTACTTAACTTAAAGTTCGATCTACCC